TCAAAAATAACCTAACACAATAGGATACACTCCACTAGTGAATAGTGTAGTAGTGACTCTTAGAGAAGATACCGAAGGCATATATGCATAGCCAAAATAATCCAAAGACTATACACCCTTTTGCGGCTAATAACATCCTGGGGCCAAACGTCACTACTTGTGCCACTGCCCTATTCTTAGAAGACCCCATTTGTTGGCCTACCAACCCTTGTGTGTGTGTGTGTCTCTCTATATACATATAATATAAAAACATTTATAATATTAAACTGAATACTCTCCTAAATTATTTCATGGGTATGGCCCACATGATAGTTAAATGTTTTATTTATTTTTTCTCATAGATATGCTTTTCTTTGCCTTGTTACTATGCCCTTTATGCACATCGATAGGTGTTCAAAGATAATCTCTTTTAATCATTTTTTTATAACCTTTTCAATTCCACATAATAAATTATTGAAAATATAAGTACTCCAACTGGCAAACTTCATAACATATGTATGACAGACCATCATGGTTGATGGAAGTCATTTCACTAAGCACACAAGTATGGTGACTACTCTTAAACCATGATCATATGATATTTTTTGAAGTTTTTTCTTTTTGGTAATATTCGAAATAATTGCAATAATATATTCATTAAATTCACGATTGCAATGCATGTTGCAGATGTAAGTAATCGTCCGTAAATCTCATTAATCAAGTCAATTAAGACTTAATGTTACAAGGTTCAAGAATTACATTATCAAAACTTTGAAGTGAAACACGCCAAAAAGAAATAACAAACGGGCGTAAACCTGCATGTGCTCGACATGAGTTTTAGCTTCAATACTTAACAAATTTATAAAATTTAGAAATGATAGTATACGTTCAAAAATTAGTATTATAACCACGAGTCTAAAAACTATATGATGGGGAGAGTGTTATGATAAGGTGAACCCACACCACCCATGGTAAGGTGCTGCTGCACTGTAAAATTCATTTCATTTAAAAAAGAGTAGGCCTGTTGGTCTACATTGGTTACAAGGTACAACAAAGTTGGTGTAAACATTAAAAAAAAAAAAAAGAAAGAAGAAGCTTTTTTATTTATTTAATAGAGGATAATGACAAATGAGGACATAAAGCTGTTTGATAAAGAAAGATATATTAGATGATGCATTTGTTTTTGTCCCTCTCACACCCAAACCTACCTCTGTTAGAGCTATTGTGGTTGGATTCTAGCTTTTGGGTTTTCTTCTTTTATTTGGCAAAGCCAAACAGAACTTGTTCTAAAATCATTTCCTATTACTTGGTCCTCATCAATTGAGAATTAGGTCATGGGGCCTTGTGGTGAGCACAGAGCCAATTATTTTTTTTGTTTTAGTTTCTTCAATATATATATATATATATATATATATATATATATATATATCACCCTATAATATAATGGCAACATGTTTTTCCTTAAGAATAAAGTATATGTTTTGAAGAAGTCTAGATTGATGACATGGAGGGCTATTGTGGGTAGGGCTGGCTGATAAATGAGTTAAGCTACTTGAACTCGGTTAAAATAAGACTCGTGTTCTAACTAATCGAGTTTAAGTAATTTTTTAGACTTATTTAGAAAATGAGCTTAAAAGACTTAGCTCGTTTTTGAGTAAAATAGTCGAGTTACTCAGGTTCGGCCTCGACTCTTTTCTAAACAAGCCGAGTTTGAACAAATTTTTAGACTCGTTTAAAAAAATAGATCAACATACTCGATTTGAATTCACAATGCTCAACTCGATTATCAGTCATAATTGTAGGTGTTGGAGCTTCTTTGGTACCTTGTTAAAAGTTTAAGTTTAATCAAGTTAAATTACGATTCAAATAAGTCACAACATGATTTAGGATATATCCAAAAATTGAGATAGATACTAATTTTTTTGTATTAATTCAAAGATTTTCAGATTTCATTGATTAGTATTCTAATCTCTTTAAATCACATTTGTTTAATATGGTTACCTAAAAATATGATAGATACAGTCTTGAAAGATATCATCTTATCTCAAAATCTACCCAATATTGTTTGTCTTAAAAAATGAACATTTGAAGTAAAGATATTTTATTATTTAGCCATGGCCTTCACACATGTCAGTGATCCAAATAGGTCACTTCATGCTTTAGATTTTTGATTGAAACCCTTTTGGAGTGCAATGTAAGGTGTCTATCAAGACTTCTTGTACAAACTGTAAAGCCATGATACTCTCCAAATAAGTGCCAACTTAACAAGTTTATATAGACTTGCAAGTCACCTCCAAGACATTTAGGGACTATTTTGGCAAAGGGATAAGTAAAATAGGGCCCCCTGAATTATGAAGGATGATGGTTTGGACCCCCCCTCCCTCCTTTTCTTCACCCCACACACACACACCAAACCCAAAACCCACAAACTTTGGGACCTCTATAACCTGTATAATGACTTGTGTCGACAAAAAAATTGTGGTTACAAGCCATTGCTCTGTCCCAAGGCTATCCACTTCAACAGTCAAGGATGAACTGTATATCTCCAGGAATATGCTATCAAAGTGGTCAGGCTTCCAAAAGCTCCTTGTATTTTTGTACACTCAACTTGAAGTTGAGAGGAAATAAATTCAGATATTGACACCTTCATATTCAAAATAAATTCTGCAGAACAATAATATTGATACTATCAGCTCTTTTATTGATATTCTCCAACCGACGCATAGAAACCATAATAGTTGGATAATTAGTACAACCTATTAATCTAAGAATTCACGTGAGTTGATAAAAAAAAGTTGGGCAGTATATTATTGTTGTTTACGAAATGATACTATTGTTTGAAATCATCTGAATTTACTAAATTAGGTTTAACAGAAAATGACATTTATTTGTATGGGCACGCATGCGTGTTCAAGGATAGATTCAGGATTTACGTTTAAAGATGAATTCTTCAGACAATTCATTAGGAATGGCATTGCGGAAAAAAGAAACAAAGTATGGGGGAAGAGGGTGACCTTCTTTAAACATTGAGGATTACTTCATAGATTTCACATCAAACTAAAGGATTTTTCTAACCTTATGGGATCACACCCTAAATTTATCATTGCACTGAAAATACTTCAATAGGAGTAAATATTAGGTGTAACAATTATTCTATGTTAACATTGTCACATGATGTAGATCGACAAAAGTGACCCTCACTGTTTTGTACATTGGATAGTTTACTATCTCGNCTGTCACGTGATATAACGGTCGACAAAAGTGACCCTCACTGTTTTGTACATTGGATGGTTTACTATCTCGGGTAGTTATTTAAATGAATAAAGTCCACTTTGCTAGCCACAATCNTTGTCACATGATGTAGATCGACAAAAGTGACCCTCACTGTTTTGTACATTGGATAGTTTACTATCTCGGGTAGTTATTTAAATGAATAAAGTCCACTTTGCTAGCCACAATCTTGGTACAAGCATATGTGCCTTTTCGACCAAATATAGACACCCTAATATGTAATGTACAGTGACAAGTCAGTTTAATAGGCCCTACACAAAGTTGTGTGGTCAATGTTGAAAAAAGTTGATAGCATCTGCTCAATACAAGAGAATTTTAATTTTGTATAAATACATTTTTTTTTCTCAATTCCTTCCATAATAGATCACCCGTTGTAAGTATAGGTAAACCCACCACACAGAAATAAACCTCTCATAAGGGTATTAAATCCAATAACTAGACTTCATATCTATAGGCAACTACTATATCTACATGCCATCACATATCAAGCTCTACCTAAAAGGTGCTTCCATGGAAATTGAATAAGCCTGACTCCTGCTTTACATTTGATATGTGCCCAAGGGGATTAGTCGAGTGCTCTAAGAAGTCCAGACGCCTCATAGTTAATCGCAAAAAAAGTTGGGACTATACAAAGCCATTGTCACTCAAAATATAACCTTGTCATTAAACCAGAATTCAAACTCCCTCCAGTTCATGGGGTGCAACAATATGAAAATGGGGCATCTCAGTAGAAAAAACCTCCTTTCAATCTCAACAAACAAGCTGACTCAAAGTCGTGCACAAGAGAGAACTTCTCAAATCTAATACAATGGGTATGTGTCATAAAGCAATTTCATGAATGGTATACAGTAAGATTCAATGCCCTAACATGTAAACTCATAAATTCTTTCCCCCAGGTAGAGTGGAAGAATCTATTATATCTACAGGGGCAGAATAAATTGAGTACAGAGTTCATAAAGGAAGCACACACCAAAAAAAACCTTTAAATCAAGGAAGGACTTTCCAATAACAAGAGCCTTAAACTATTGACAAAGTAGAGCTAATAAAGAGTAGGCACCATGGTTTGAATCTCATCACCATCACTTACTTAACAATCAGAACAATATAAAGAGCATTTTCCCAGGATAAGAGGTGTGTCACCAATTCAAGGTTGTCGTCGGTGAACAATCTTGACCCCAATTTTACAACATCCACTGCCTAAAAAATTCCCATAGTACAGTAAAAAAGAACCTTGATTTACCTCTCCATACAGGTATAAATCAAATCCTGTCAGAATTCTGTAGAATAAAATCTCAGATCTCTTTTAAAGGTAAACTTAAATGAAGAACACATAAAAGATCAAGTTTAACTACTAGAGACAGACAAAGGTGGAAACCAAATCCAACAAATATGTCTTTCTCATGAAGGTCACAAATCTCCGAGACTGGACACATAACCTATCAAGAATCTAAGATGACTAACCATTCTACTAAGTGATGCCTCTTTTTGTCAAACTATAGAGACACATTTTCTTTGGACAGGTCAATCAAATGGATAAAACTTGCAGGNGAGACTGGACACATAACCTATCAAGAATCTAAGATGACTAACCATTCTACTAAGTGATGCCTCTTTTTGTAAAACTATAGAGACACATTTTCTTTGGACAGGTCAATCAAATGGATAAAACTTGCAGGGTGAGGTCATCATAACAGGGATAGAGATTCCAACTTAAGAGATAATTAAAATGGATTGGAATGGACTATGTAAATTGTATTTGTAACATTGAAAGTAGCTTAAAGAAATTTTCTCCTTATCCTTGATGACACTTCTATGTAAAAACACAAATTTCTACTTGAATAAGGAATGCCAAAGTACACAAACTACGGCAACTGATAAATTTGAAACAACAAAGAGAAAATTGCATGCTTGCCTTCTGCGTTCCTATTGTCCGACTGCAGGTTGAGATGCAATCACTGAATCGAAGATCAAGTCAAGTCTTCAAGTTGAGAAAAGTGCTCTTTTATTTTCTAGAATTAACTTAATTTTAGGAGAAATTGGACGCCGAACAGTAACTCAACCAATAACATTATCTAGCGCGATCCAAGCAATGCCTGTGACGAGAATCTATCTCTGCTTTCATGGAACGTTCATAACTTGAATGGATTGCAACATATCAGAGACAGCAATGACCAGATCACCTGATTTTATCATTCCTCTGGCCTTAAGCAAGGAGAAAGTTTTATTAAGGTTGCTTTCCATATCGTCAGAGAAGCTTAGGCGGAAGGGTATCAATCCCCACTGTAGGTTCAGACGTCTGCGCACAGAAGTCGTGGTTGTAAAAGCAAAAATTGGGCAGTCAGGTCGGCACCGGGAAAGGAGAGATGCCATATGCCCATTCTTTGTGTAAACAAAGAGAGCGTCCACCTCTAAATTGTTTGCTGCAAAATTACAACACATGTTAGGACCCATAGCAAGTAGTAACAAAAGTGATCAATTCAACCTCTAAATCCCCCCTTCAGGAACACCAAACACCATCCCTTCCCTCCAAAAATATATATAAAAACAAGGAAAAAAAGAAGAGGAAAGAACATGGAAATAAGGAAAAAAGAAAAGAAAAAAAAGAACAAACAAAATCACGACAAGGAAAAAAGGAAAGAAGGGAGCTCAAGTTTCAATAATAAGGAACACATCAGGTCTCAGCAAATTTACTAGGTACCAAATTCTACTTTTATTGCAACCCCCACCACCTCTTCCCCCCTTTCCAAAGAAACAAAAATGAAGCTCTAAGAAAAATTGGTAACATCGGCATGACAACACCCAGCAAGGGCAAAACAATGAATCATCCCCAAAAAAGCCACTACNCTTCCCCCCTTTCCAAAGAAACAAAAATGAAGCTCTAAGAAAAATTGGTAACATAGGCATGACAACACCCAGCAAGGGCAAAACAATGAATCATCCCCAAAAAAGCCACTACCCAAGCATAGCAAATGTGGCACTTGGACATCACTCTGATTTCAATTCATTTTGTTCTACATAACATTAACTGCACAGAATAGAACCATATTATATCAAAATGGAAGAAATATTCTGAAAAGGCCAAATCCAATAAATTATAATTAGGAGGCTGTCTATCAATATTTTGAAAAGCCCTTACATTAGGACTGCCACAACAAGAGGCTCATTCCACTTCAGTCAAACATACGAAAGCCCGTTTAGAGAATAATGAATTGGCAAGGATGATGATCACTAAAACTTGAGCAACCAAAAGATTAAAAAAAAGCGTTTTTAGAAAGTAGCATTACGATATGAATGGTTATGTATCAGTAAATTTGCAGATCTTATAAGACAGAAAGGAAATGTGGTGCCCAAAGTCGAACTCTTTTAGAGTATTTTTTTTTTGGTCAGGAATTCTTTTATTTTAGAGTATGGAAGTGCCTTACTTTACACTCATAGAACAAGAAAAATCATGCCTTATATAAGACATACAGAAGATAGGCAATTTTGAAGATGCAAAAGATTCAAACAAGTATTACATTCCACAGGCTACAACTAGCAAGTTATGAACAAGAAAGGCATTGAGCTATGTATTTATTAGGAACTCATCCCATTGAGTAATAATGCTGGAATAACCAAGTCTTGTCATGCAGGAGGATTAAAAGAGGGATTGAACTTGTATTACCAAATTCATTGACTGCAACTGAAAATACAGATGTCTTACCCATTTTGGCAGCAGAGTTGCAGATCTCTTCTGAGATACTGTCTGTGAATGAAGATGCTATGCCTGGGAGTTCCATAACTTCATGATGTTTCTGTTCCCTCCACCACTTCTCAATTCTCAAACTTACACTTCTTAAAACAGTTAAGGCCTTCTCAGGAAATTGGCCCATGGCTGACTCACCAGAAAGCATTAAAGCATCTGCTCGTTCTCTGACTACTTCAGAAACATCAGCCACTTCGGCTCTAGTGGGTGTAGGGTATTCAATCATAGATTCAAGCAGCTGAGAGGCAACAATAACAGGCTTATTTAGTTGCCTGCACAGCTGAACAATCCTTTGCTGCTCAGATGGGACCTGTTCCAATGGGATCTGAGCACCCAGATCTCCTCTTGCTACCATGGATCCGTCTGATGCTTGAATGATCTCCTCCAAGTTCTTCAATGAGTCAATACTCTCTATTTTTGCAATAACAGCAACATCACTGCATCATGATAATAAAAGTACACTTATAATTCAACCTATTTGACAAAAGGTACTTCAAACATAAGTTGTAATAGGCAACTTGCAATTCCAAAGATAATGGATGCATCTCAAGTTTTCAGTTGTTTCTGAGGAGGACAATGGAACTAGAATAATATACAAATGTAATGACAGTAATGTCAATAGTCAGTACCTTACTCATGTGCAATCTCTAATATGTAAACAACAATAAGAAAGTCCCTATGCAATAATAATATCAACCAAGACAAACTGGACAACCAACAAACTCTAGCTCAACAACCTCACGCAAGAATGTGCGAGAGACTACATGNCCATGTGCAATCTCTAATATGTAAACAACAATAAGAAAGTCCCTATGCAATAATAATATCAACCAAGACAAACTGCACAACCAACAAACTCTAGCTCAACAACCTCACGCAAGAATGTGCGAGAGACTACATGCTCAGATTTTTGTGAAGAAATTTTTTTCACACCATCATAAGGGTGTCTTCAATCATTAATTCCCCAATTTTTACTTTTCTTCTTCTTTTGTTTTGATTAGAGGGAGGGAGTGATTATGAAAAATGAACTATACATGTATTCTAAAACAATCCATACCCATCATGAGCCCGTGCTGTAATATAGCTTTTGAGATGGTTAATCACTTCAGCAGACTTGACAAAAGATATTGCTATAAAATCAACACCTTCTGCAATCCCAAAATCAATGTCCAACCAATCCTGATAATACAACATGTTTTAAGAGTCGGAACAGATAACAATTTTCTCGTGAGAGGACAAAGCTTAAATCAGAAAAGGATAATCAAGCAAAAGGGTCATCAATAGCACATGCAAAAGCAGACGAATTACATGCACAAACACATAAGCATACTACAAGAATATGTCTAGAACAACACAATTGTTAGTTGTAGTTTCCAGAATCTAAATTGAGATTGCATTTGATGCCATTACCTGACTAAATCAAAACGGATCCACTTACTGATGATAAATCGGGTTTAACTTATTATTATTTTTCAGATATTTCAACCTTTAAGTTGGGTTGTAAACTTTCCTAAGAAAAGATTCTTCAAGATTTAATTCTTACATGCAGGCAGTGGCGAGGGGCAGGCTGTGAAGTGTTCAGCCAATCTTAGACCCATCCGGAGCAACCAGTCCAAGACCCATAATAACCAACTGGTCTGAGATATTGTAGCTTCATTAATGCAAAATAACCAGCTAATGTCTTACACCAACCAATGCTTCAATAGGCTAATTTGTCATAGATAAGTCCAAATTTAATGATTCAAATCCCCAAGAAAAAAAAAGTGGGATTTACTGCCAAGGCCGTGAAATAGAGATTTAATCGAAAAATAACAGCTCAGTCACTTGTCTCATAAAAAAGTTTAGGGTTAATTACAAAATACCCCACTCCTTCAGGTTTGAAATATCCAAATCTCCAAGAAAAAAAAAGTGGGATTTACTGCCAAGGCTGTGAAATAGAGATTTAATTGAAAAATAACAGCTCATACACCTGTCTCATAAAAAAGTATAGGGTTAATTGTAAAATACCCCCTTCAATTTTGGATAGTTTGTCATTCACTCCTTCAGGTTTTAATTTCAACAAATAGCCACTTGACTTAAGTTTGAATATTTTGCAATTAACTCCAATAGTTAATTTAGGCCATAAAAAATGACGAAAGTTAGCCATGAGAAATTCACCTTATCTCTACTTTGTTGAAAAGACATAATTATCCCTCAAAAAATGTGTGTATGTGCACACATCTGTGGGTTTTGAGTGGAGGTGAAGGCAAACATGGTATTGATTAGTGTGTTGGAGTTGGGTTGAACAAATGTATTTTTGTCTTTGCTTTTCCGTTTCCTTATTTTTTGGGGAAAATTTTAGTATCTCATGAAAAAAATATGGAAAATAATGTATAAGATGGAGAGTGTAATGGTACTTTCATGTTTCAGCCACTCTTGTCAATTAATTTACTTCACTTGAAACTTGGAGGAGACAAATTGTAGTATTTAAAATTATTGGGAACTAATTGTAATAAGAGACATAATTGGAGGGGGCAAATTGTAATAACCCAAAAGTTTTTAGCAAAGTATCTCATCCAATAAAAGTATATGGATCAGCAGATCCTTTTAAAGACCAAAATTCTAGTGGTAATAATAGATGGACAATTTACAAATCCACAAATCAAAGGTCACTATACTAAAAGCCGGCGAAGTGTTTTTCAAAAATAATTCCAATCACTTGGAACATGACACTTATTCACATTTAGATGAACATATCAATTCCATGGGGAATGCTCGACACCTTGAACNAAAAGCCGGCGAAGTGTTTTTCAAAAATAATTCCAATCACTTGGAACATGACCCTTATTCACATTTAGATGAACATATCAATTCCATGGGGAATGCTCGACACCTTGAACCTAGCAATCAATTTTTCTAAAGGAACTAAAGAAAGAAAGGAGAGAGGCACTAGCCTTGGACGAAATTGTTGGGAGCATGGCATTACGTTCCGTTACTAAGCTCCCATTGCGCCAAAAAGTCAGATTAGCCCGAGGTAACAGAAGTCCGGGATCAGTACATCGACACTTGACATCTGGACCAATTATTTCAATTACCTCAAACCTCACCATTCCACCGTCAACTAGAAGTTCATCCCCAATAGTCACATCTGTTACAGTTAAATTCGGTCAAAATTAGACTGAACATCAAACATGCTTCCCACATACATATAATCAAACAAACATAACAGCCATATCATGTACCATAAAATTAATGATAAGTGTGATGAAATGAAACATATACATAATCAAACAAACATAAGAACCAATCATTTATCATAAAATTAATGAAAAATTTTATGAAATAAAATGACAAGATTATGACCTTCAGCAAAGCCACCGTAGTTCACATTGATAGTGTGTTCTTGGCGAGGCGAATTATAAGCTCGAACGCTAAATGTCCATATCTCACCATCCTGTACAAAAAAAACAAGTGATTACAATAAGCTTCACAATTATGACCTGGGAACTGCAGCAGTACTTGATACACACTGCATAAATTGGTATTGAACTCAAGGTAAAACTCAGACAGGCTTCCCAGAGTAATCTCACAAAAAGTTGTTCCAAGGAGCAAGATAAAAGTACCTCTCTAAATGTGGATAATCATAAATACATTATCATTTGATGCAAATGAATTAACTTGTTTCTAAAAGCAATTTAAAATATTATGACTGGCGTCTTGAAAAGGCTCTAACTTTTAAGACTTCGGCTTGTATTTTCTTGATGCCTCCACCTTTCTTCTCTATACTCTCTCTTTATAAAGTGCCTAATTCTTCCAGACACAAACAATAATCTTTCTAATTGTTTTTTTTGAATTGTAGGTTTATAAGGAACATACCACGCACGACCGGACGTATAGCCACTAAGAGCTGGCAGACCGAGCCGGGAGCAGGTTCCAGATTTGAAAAGTTGAGTCTCGATCAGCCTAGTGCACCAACCACGTGGTCCTTGTACAAGTTTGAAAGGACAAATCAATTGATGCAATTGACAGAATGATGAAAATGTGACAATTGTTTTGAGCTCCTAGTGGTCTAGGCTTTTAAACATAAGCTAAACTTCTGCTATCAGTCAAAAAATGATTTAGGCCAATTGTGCGTTACAATTGAATACTTTGTAATTCAAATCAAAGCAACTGAATGTATCCCTTTGTTTCTCCCACCACTCATATCTATATCTCATCTTATGCTAACTAAGAGAATCTATTGGTTTTGTAATTGTTGTTGGAGACAGGGGCGTTGATCTTAAATGGGTAGGATAAGATGATGGTACTTTGGGTTTTTTCTTGGGCATTGGGTTGGGGGGGGGGGGGGGGGGGGAAGGAGATAATATTTGTGTTCTCTTGAGTGTTGTGAGAAATGAGGAGACAGTTGAGGGATTGGAAGATCATCCAATTACTAACGTAATTAAGCAAAGTAATTGCGTCAAATCCCATGATTTTGGGAAGTCTAAATCTGATTTGGCGATAACACAATTTTGTGAGGTGAAAACAAGATGAGGTCAAAGGTGTAAGAGTAGGTGAGAACACTCAAAATAGTTCAAAAAAAGCTTTTGGTTTATGAAATTTTTTCAAGGGAAGAAGAAAAATGGAAATATGTTGTAGTTTGCATTAGAGAAATCTTGTTTCATTTTTGGAGGGAAATTCAAAAGGCTCTGTTAAAGGCATTGAGTTTTGATGTAAATTGAGTGTTTTTTAGACTAGTAAAGCAATTTTCTTATGTAAAGATGACAAAGACGTGGACAAAATTTGCAGGGATGGAAAGTGCCTCCTTGAGGGGTCAATTATGGTGAAGATGCGAAGGTGGAGTCTTGAATCAACTAAGGTTCACAACAAAGTTTCGTTATAGGGAAGGTGGATTGTTGTACAAGGATTTCCGTTTCATTTATGGCATCAATAAGTTTTTTAGAAGATTGGGGAGTAGTGTGTGGTGGTTTTGTCGAGGTCGATCGTCAAACCAAGAATCGTGAGAATTTGTTTGCGGCGCTAATTTGTATCCACAAGCCAGAATCTAGCTTCCTTAGGACCTCACTGAATACCAACTTCAATTGGAAAGCATACCTGATTCAAGTTAAGGTTTTCTCTTGCTTGGGAAAAATGGGTCGTGATGAACGGATGAGATTGTTTGAGGGTGGTGGTACCGAAAATCGATACATTATTACAGCAGTTGAGATGGAGGGACGGTGTAAAAAGGGCACATGGCATTAGGTTAGTAAGGGGGGGAGATAATATTCATGTTCTCTTGAGTGGTGAGAGAAATGAGGAGATGGCTGAGGGTTTGGAAGATCACCTAATTAGTAACATAATTAAGCAAAGTAATTGTGTCAAATCCCATGATTTTGGGAATTCTAAATCTGATTTGAATATTGAAAATAGTGTTAAAGTGGTTTAATGACAGTGGTAAAGGCATTTTGATGACTGTGGCCAAGATCCAAATGTTGCTAGGGAGAGTGTTGTGGACTTCAAGGAAAAGACGTCATCAAATATGGCCCAGTGGAGGAGAGTTTTTTATCCTGGGCTTCTCTCTATTTCTAGATGGGCCTTCAAGGATTTGCCCATTTTTCCCTAAAATTGCAAATTCTTTTCGTAGGACTTTGGGCTCTGTCCAGTCCTCAAGTAAACTGAACTCTTTGTCGATGAAGGAGAAACCCTTAGCTAGGGCTTCAATCTCCGTAGGCAATATCGGGGAGGAAAAGGAGTTTCGAAGCTGCAAGGTTTCAGAGGGGGGCTCGCAGGGGTTGATGGTGGTGATGCAAGATATACTTGATAATTGTGTAAAAGGATGTGACAAAGGCAATACTGATTCTGTGAAGGAGGGGATTTGGGACGATTTTGAGGGGGATATTGATAATAATGGGGTGCAACAAAGGATGCTGTTAGACATGGAGGAGGGATATTTGAATGTAGATGAGGTTGGACTGCTCTCTGCTGGGAGTGGAGATTCTGATAGCAGCTCGGATGATGGTTCAGATTGCCACAAAAGTGGGCTGAAGCTCAGATTGAATGCTGAAGAGGTATTTTGAAATGCTGGGAAGATGGTCGACATGGAGGTGTTGAAAATTGGGCTGGTGATGACACACGCAAAGATATAAGGGGTGATCTGGTCAGTGATGATCATCTTTGCACTTCGGATGTGCGCTGAGATCCTCAAAAGTCTTCAATGGTGGGTAATTTTGAGGAAGGGTTACCTTCTTTCTGGGGAGTGTGGTATATCTAGGGATGTCAATGGACCGAAGTGGGGGCAGAGGGTGTAATCTTCATCCCCGTACCCGCTTAAAAAAATTTCGTCCATCTCCGGTCCACCGCCGTTAACCGGGATAGTTTTCATCTTCATCCCCGTCCGCGGATAAATTTTTAATCCCGATCTCTGTCCCCACTTCTCCCGTACCCGCCCAAGCTCAAGCCAACATAATCCAAAATTTTAAAAAAATCCAACATTTTAAATAATCCAACAACATTCTATATAATTTAACATAATCTAACACAACATAATAGGACAACATATTCCAACATAATGTTCAACATATTCCAACATAACACAAAGAACAAATGTCCAAAATATTACTTGAATTTGATATAATTCAACATAACACAAACAATGTAATGGGGAAACTTTTTTGGCATGTAGCTTCACACCTGTAATTTAATAAAGAAAATAAAACATAAAAAATTATAATAATTGCATAAAAAATATTTTGTAATTACTAATAAAATTGATTGGTTGAAATTAAAAAATTACCAA